ACCATGTCTGGTTTTTTTTTTTTTTTTTTTTTTTTTTTCGCAGTTTTTGGCCGGGGCTGGGTTTGAACCCGCCACCTCCAGCATGTGGGGCCAGTGCCCTACTCCTTTGAGCCACAGGTGCCACCCCTTGGATAATTTTTTGTTGTTGTTGTTGGGGTAGGTTCATGCTGTGTTGCTCAGGTTGGTCTTGAACTTCTAGCCTCAAGCAATCCTCCTGCATGGGCCTCCCCAAGTTCTGGGATTACAGGTGTGAGACCACACTTAGCCCCCAAGTATAATAACTTCTTATTATAAATCAGTATATCCTGTGAATCTGGCTTCTTATTTCTACATGCCTCATAAAGTACTTTAGATATCATGGCCCTATATTTTCATTCTACTCAGACTCATTTCTTTATATTGAACTTTAGGACTGAGATAACAATGTAGCAGGCAGGGGTAGGGTTGGGGGGATAGTTAAAAAGACTAATCTCTTACTGGCCGTATGACCTCGCCCTCTCTCCCCCAGCCACCAGTAGATAGGAAGTGACTTGCAGCTGGTAGAAATAGGGATAACAACAGATAAGTTTTCATGGCCACTTCTGTGCTCCCTTGTAATTCACAGGTTGAAGCAACAGTGTTAAAAAGAGAAACTCAAAGAAAAATGGAATAGAGTTGGGCACATCTGTGATTTGTAAGTGATCATTCTGCATCATTCAGCTTCCTATTATCTTAACTTTTATTTCTTCTTTGCTCTACCCTAACAGAATTGATGGAATCCACAAATGCCAAACTGTGGACATTGAAGCTGACTTTAGAGGTGGCAGCTTGGTTTATCTTGCTTATTTTCATCTTGGAGATCCTTCTTATGTGGCTATCCAGCTTTCTTCTTTTCTGGAAGAGTGCCTGGAATGTCTTTGACTTTATTGTTACCATGTTGGTAAGAATAAATATCCTGGCTCGGCGCCTATAGCTCAACCGGCTAAGGCGCCAGCCACGTACACCTAAGGTGGCGGGTTCGAATCCCCAGATACAGGGGATAGAACTTCAGGTTATATCTGGAA